CGTTTGGTCTTTGCAGTTTGAATATTAAAAGTTCTACGTTTCCTAAAATAATATTTGGCATTGTTATTTCTCTGCGGTAGTAGAGCATGCAGTTTGTTTTTAGAGTCACTTACAATTGACCTAAAGAGTGATTTAGATAAAGATTCGTGGTGATCATGTATAGATGCTAGGCCAGCGAGCGATAGGGCGTCTTCGTAACGCCTTCCTGGGTAAATGCAGGCTAGTGCTCTTTTCTGAATCCTTTCCAGATCTTCTTGGAGATATTTTGGAAGTGAGTAGTGGAATACAGGGCATGCGTAATCGATTGCAGAACGGATACATGCACAGTAATAGGCGACTATTTCTCTTGCTGGGACTTTCGCTCTCTTAAGCTGCACAAGAAAATACTGCTTGCGAGATGCTTTCTTTACTATTTCCTCGATATGATCATTCCACGTAAGGGTGCTGTTAATTGTTACGCCGAGTAGCTTTACCTTGCTCACTGGGATAATGGTGGACCCCTCAACATTGACTGGAGATGGCAAATTCCGAGACCGACTGAAGGTAATAGGTAGCTCTTTACATTTCCTGCAGTTAAGTTGAAGCATGTTCCTTTTTGACCATTCAGATACCTGATCGACAGCCGATTGTGCGTCACTTAAATCTTTATTTTTGGCTATTACTTCAGATACAGTCGTGTCGTCAACGTATTTCCACATATCAAAGGGGTCTCCAGAAATTGAAAGATCGTTAATCATTATCAGAAACAGCCAGGGGCCCAACTTCGTACCTTGAGGAACTCCTGCAGGTACGGCTCCCCATTCTGAGAAACAGTCCCGTTCCAGTTTAACCCTCTGAGATCGACCCGATAGAAAACTCATGATCCAATTGATGACGCTGTTGGGAATGTCCAATTGACGAAGTTTCTCAATAAGGGTAGAGTGGTCTATCAAATCGAAAGCTTTCCGATAATCGAATAACAAAACTCTAATTGTTGAGCCAGTGCCGTCAGACTCTTTTAACCACTTGTGGACCATGCTAATTAAGGCCATAACCGTTGAAGAACCTGGGATTGTTCCAAATTGATTGGGATCGATTATTTTGGTCACAGCAGGTTTAATGTAATCAGCTACAATGAATTCCTCGGCCACTTTTGATAGAGAACAGGTTAAGGAAATTGGTCTAAGTTCCGATTGGGGGTTCGTGACACGTTTGACTTTGGGAAGCGGGCATACGTCAGCCAATTTCCAAACCCTTGGAAGACTTTGGTCCTTAAAAGATGAATTCAAAATATTAGCAACTGGTTCCGCCAAAATCTCAGCATACTCCTTGAACAACCAGTTAGATAGTCCATCAGGGCCAGGAGCTTTATACTTGTTTAACCGTGATAGGTGGGTGTAAACGCGTTCGACCGACACCTCTGGTATCACATCTAATTCTTCCCCTGGCAAGTTGACAGTACTAGGATCGAGGGGGTTGTACTCCTGCAGAGGTTCTAGAAGGGAGGCATTAATAGCATCGGCTATTTCCTTGTGGGACAAATTATCATATCCAGGGACATTAAGACTGCTCATCAATTTGATGCTATTTACGGATCCACTTATTTTTTTAACTTCTTTCCACCACTGACGGGGATTGGCCCCTTTCAAATCTTGGACTTTTGAGGCATAATATTTAGCTTTGCACAATTTCCTTTCTCTGTTGACGGCGTTGCGGTAAAACTTGAATTGAATGCCATTCTTGTTAGAGTAGAAGGCTACTTGTCTCATACGTATTAGATCTTTTAGCTTAGTGGACATCCATGGGGCATCATTGGTGTGGACTTTGATCACTTTCTCTGGCATGATATGATTCAGACCAATTTTTATTAGGTCAGTTAACGTATCTAACTTTCCAGTACAGTTGTCTTTACTATTAATAGTTGACGCCCAGTCTATGCTACTTAAATATCGCCCAAGTGCGGCCTTGTTGCTTGCTCTCGTATCTCTAACTGTAACGAATTTTCTTGAAGACTGGCCTATTTCTCTTTCCTTTGGTCTCACGAGAACTGTGTTATGGTCTGACAGGCCGAAGGGTGGGTATATCTCGGCTGGTGAAAAGAACTCGGCCATATTCGTTAGAATTTTATCAAGTGTCACTTGGCCCCTTGTAGGCAGCTTAACCAGTTGTTTGAGTTTGAAATGACGTTTGATGTTAGCGACATTCAGACGATTGAAGTCTCCTGCTATAACAATACTGCAATTAGGATATAAGGATTCGGCCAGTGTTAAATTTTGGAATAGATGATTAATAATTGAATGGCAGTCTGAACCAGGTGGATGGTAAATGACAGCGATGATAAGGCAGGTAAACCCTCGGGGGAGACGCGTAGGGTTGAGCTTAATCCACAAAATTTCATGATCGTTACAGCATTGTAAATTTTCAAGGATTTCATATTTTATCTGTTCTCGGGCATAAATACAAACTCCGCCGTGTTCTCGAACAATACGGTCTTTCCGAAATATGTTATAGCCGGAAATATTAATAACACTGTCATTAATTCTGTCTTTTAGCCAAGTTTCGGTAATAAATCCGACATCTACATTATATCGTTGAAAAAAAAGTTGAACCTCAACTACCTTCGGAGCCAGAGACATAGTGTTCGAGAGCATAATAGTAGGGACAAAATAATGTTTATCGTGGGACGACGTTCCGCTTGATTTAGCATTGCTTAGATTGATTAAGTTTGAAAAATTCACTCCTCGCCTTATTCTTTGATTTGCATACGGTTGCTGCATATTAACACATACTTGAATATTATACCTTCTTCTTGCTTCCTCTGCTCTCGTTTTAACACCACCCCGTCTTCCTCTCACTCTCCGTAATAAATCCCCCATACTCGAAATACTATTATAGTATTGGAAAGGCTGTGATTCTTTCGCCGCTGGCACCAGATATGTTGTTGTTGCATAAGATGGCCAACCAATTGACGAACTACCAACTGTGAAACAAATTCTCGAATATAGAAAACAATACACGACTATACTCTGGAATAACCACATAACTTTCTTCAATACACCTTAAGCTCCATCAGGCAGAATTTTGATAAGATATAGTAATATTTAAAGGTGTTTAAAATCGAAAAATTCGAAGAGCTAAACAAAACTATGCAGCCGTGACCGGCGCTTACAGTCAAAAATGATAATTGCAAGCCATTTTTAATGGCTTGCAACAAAAACACTCTAAAATGCAAGAAAGAACTTTTTCATGAAAAAAACCTAGAACTAGAGTTTCTGAAAATGACCCAAATTGCTTCTGGAACTATTAAAGAACATGAGAGTGATGACTTTGAGGACCCTTCAATCAGTGAATACTGTTACCTAGGAGTCAAACTAAATCACAATGGCAATTTCATTTTAGCTCTAAAGCAACTAAGTGAGAAAGCCTTGCATGCTTTACATGGTATAAGAAGACAGCTCAACTTCAGCTGCCTCAATCCCAAATATGCCATTAAAATATTTTATTCTATTACAAGCTCGAAGTATGGGGGACAACTCTGAAGTATGGGGGACATACGTGAGAAACGATTTCAACAATTGGGACAAGTTACCAATTGAAAAAGTCCATCTTAAGTTCTGTAAAATATACCTTGCTGTCAGTAGGAAAGCAAGTAACATTGCTTCCAGAGCTGAGCTTGGAAAACTCACTCTTATTATCAATGTATTCAAAAGGGTCTTCAAATACATCACTCACTTAAACTCACTTCCCGAAACAGCCATTGCAAAGCAAGCATTTCTAATCTTGAAAGATCTCTACTCTAGGCAGAAAACTTCCGTTTAAGGAAATGCAATGGATACAATCAAAAATTTATATCTAAATGAAGAAATCCCTAATCTGGAAGCCGTAACGTCTGAACATATTGAAGTAATATATGAACAACGAGAGCAAGTGTTTCAGTGGGATATCCAAACACAAGAGAACAATGTATGAAAACACGAGCACGAAGCACAAGTGTTTTCATACATTGTTTTTGAGTATTTGGATATCCCGGTGAGACACAAGCTTGAGTTGTTTATATAGCTTCTCAAATGAATCGAGCATAACATAATTAGGAATTCTATTCAAGTAATTTTGCATGCGTAATTAAGATATTTGTGACTTTCATCAAGTTTCACCGGGTTATCCAAATGACATCTTGTGATCAAATAGGTGATTAACATTGACTGAATTGCTCATGAATTATTAATGAATTTGAGAAGCTATTACCAAAACCCTTGAGGAAAAATACTTGACATTCTGGAAACATAAACTTTGGAAATTCATCCAAATTAACTTTCTATTCAACACAGACCACAACCTCGAAAAATACTTAGTATTTAAGACCCATACAAGAGAAAATACCTTTCACGTTTTAGAGTCGGCAGCCATAACCTCCAAATTGAGATCGGGTGATACCAAAATATACCCCGAGAAGAATGCTTATGAGAAATCTGTAATTCAGGAGAAGTGGAAAACGAAACCCATTTCCTATTCTTTTGCAAAGCCTATGAGCATTCTCATGAAGACCTCCAAAGTTCTTTAGAGAATGCCTCATCTAACAAGATTAAACTGAACTCTCAAACTCTATCAGCTGACTTAATGAAGTCAATTGATAGTGAAATCATAACTAAACTGTCAAAATTTGTTTACTCATGTTTTGAACAAAGGCTTAACTACCTTGAAACCAGGAGTGCTAATTAGAAGAGGTTGTAATAACCACCTTATTTGTAAATATTATACTTGTCTACATTCTTTCTTCTTACTTCTTATTAACGTTAATGTTATGTTAGTCTATTAAGTATCATTGCGCATATACAAATTTGTAAATTGTATAATCCCAGTTTACCATATTAGTTCTCTATACAGGGTGTCTAAAAAAAACGCTATGGAAATTCAGCAGGCTTCTGTGCATCATAAAGTGGCTAAACAATTCAATTTTTACATGGGACAAAAGAACAGTTATTTAGCTTTTCAGTGATACTCTTTTTAAATCAAAACGATGAGAAATGGCCAGATACTTGTCAAATAAACATTGCCGGTCTAAATCACATTCTTCCACCGTTGGGAATTGCATGGAAATTGAAACACAGACAATTCCCACAAGAGGGAATTAAAGTTGAATGTTAAATTACCTAAAATGAGCTCAACTCCTCAATCTTCATCTTAGTAAGACAATAAGAACGTCATTGCATTTAAACATGGTTCAATTAACCACTGAACATTCGTAATCAAAACGTTTTACGAAACAAATACCTTCGGCAGCTGGCTCGCGTTGCTTTTAGATTGATTAACTTTGCATAATTAATGTCTTTTCAATTCCCAATGGTGGAAGAATGTGATTTCGACTGACAATTTTCATTTGACGAGTATGTGGCCATTTCGC